TTGTACCTGAATTTCAGTTTAATTACAACCATACCATTGGTTTAATGAGTGGGCTTTGTGGAAGTTTTGGGTTCGGCCTGGGGGATTTTTTTTGGGTTTGGGCATATGGGCTTTTGCTGGTTTGGCATGTGGCTGGGTTTTATTTGGTTGGTTTCGGTAGGGATAGGAATGCACTGAGGTGAATGCCGTGAGTCATACACAGTGCAGCTTGCAGAATGGCAGAGAGTAGAGTAGAGATGGAAGAGTCGTGGGTGAGAGAAGAGGAAAGAGGGAAGAGTCGTGCGTTGCAAACGGGATGTGAGGAAAGACGGAAGGAGAGAGAGAAGGGTAGGATGAGCGAATCAAGGGTAGGGGTGCCCGAGAGTTTGGTTTTAAAGGTCGACAACAAAGGGTGCACAGAGAGACGGCGAGGCAAGTTGGGAGGGCTAGGGGTAGGGTTCCTTTCGGGATTTTGGTTCCAGCTAGATGCCATTTCCGCAACAATTAATGGGGAAGGCATGGTTGCGTGCAATTTGTGGGGTTGTGGGAGAGATTTATAGATTTTGTCCAATTTTTTAAAGAAGGATGGAGAGTGAGAGAGAGAGGGCAGAAAACATGGTTTGACTGAGTGGCAGGGATATTTAGAGGTTTTGTCATCTGATTCAACAGGTAAAATAGTGTTTTTAAATCATTGTTTATTGTTTGGTTTGCCATTTGCTTTGTTAAAACTGTGATTAACATTTTGTTGTTTCGATAAAATTGTAAAGGAATCTTATAGCCCGTTTAGTTGGGTGTTAGGAAGATCAATCTGTTGAGTGCACTGTTAGAGTCAGGTTTGTGTCTTTATAACTTTGGGAGTTACACTGTGCTCATTTATGTGTTTCTTCATGCTTTGCTCATGTTTCATTCTCAACAAACCAAATTGAGGTTCCTTTTCTGCTTTACATCCTTTGAATATCTCTCTGTTACTAGGTTGTTTCTCCATACTTTGTTGCTTCTGTATTTTTGTGATAAGGGTGTTAGAAGGCTGTTTTAGTTGTTGTTTTGCTCCTCTGTTGATAGATTGTTTTTGCAAATCTTGGTTGCTTATGTATTTCTGTTACTAGATTGTTTCTCCATACTTTGTTGCTTCTGTATTTATGTGATAAGGGTGTTAGAAGACTCTTTTAGTTATTGTTTTGCTCATCTGTTGATAGATTGCTTTTTTAAATCTTGGTTTTGAACACCCACTTTCCGTTCTCAATACTGCACTCCTCAGGGTCGAACTCAAACCTATCATCTAATAGGGAAGCTCATGGCTGTGGATAGGGTAGAGTGGTAGAGAAAGGTTTTGAAGGGAGGATAATATGAAAGGGTGTGTGGAAACAATATGATGAAGACTTAGTGAGAGATGTGTTTTATTTTTGGGGAAACATCTTTTGGGGTTTTTGAGTACGAGTGAAGCCAAAGGAATGTATTTAAAGGAGCAGGTTTAGGGGTGAGTTGCAAGGCTAACATCTTGGGCTCCTTTTCTGTCCTCTGCATATACATATAGTGGGGAGCTAGCCATGGCCCTATATGATGATCATCCAACAATTGTTTTATTGCTTTCATATGCAAAAATAGTTCAGAATCTTTCATTAGGTGAGAAAAAAGATGATGCTATTTTTATAGATAAGCTAACAAAGAAGGGAGCCTCCCTCTCTCTCTTTTGACTTCTTTGGCTATTTGATAGGTTCATCCATCATATATATGTGTGTGTGTGTTTGTGTGTGTGTGTGTGTGTGTGTGTGTGTGTGTGTGTATCATATATGTGTGTACGTGTTCGAATAGACAGATGTCTGTTTCATAATTATTTACACAATTCAGTAGAGTCTGCAATGTGCTCGATTACCTCGAGTAAAATCATTAATTTACAACCAAATTAGAATAAACCAGAGCAGTTTGTAAACACTGAAGTCAGATAATCATATAAGCAGTTTGTAAACTCTTAAGACCATGCCTCCAAACTAAACACACACTCTCAATTTGATATGGAAACAATGTTCATATCTGATTAATACTATTTTTCATAAACCCACTTAGAATCTGATTTCGGTTTTGTTACGTGTTATTTGGGTTTTAGTAAATTTTTCATGCTTTCGTAGAATTATGTTTATAGTTATGAGTTTTGGAGAATTCTTCATTAAATTGGTGGGCTCTTTTTTTATGTCGTTTTATTTCCTGGTTGCTTCTATATTTTGAGTGTAGTTGTCATGTGTTTGCCACTTTGCCTCTTTTCATTGTGTTGCAATTGTAGTATTCTCTCCACTGAGTTTCTACATGCATGAGAACATATGTTTTTCTTACTAATTTGATTAGATTATATACTGCTGCAATAATGGCAGTTCCATACACTATTTTTGGGCCAGCCATCAGCTGTTTGATAGGCTTTGGTCCATTTTCAATGAGGCTTGCCCTTTGGGTGTCGAAAGTTGGAAATACCCATCTCAAGGCTGGGATTAAAATCTAGAGATAAGGCGATGAGAGCCATGCGCATTGCAGAGAGGGAGAGAGGGGTTTAGGAATGTAAATTTTTATTTATGAATGGGTTTTTTATTTAAATTTTGTTATCATGATTTTGGGGATTTTGTTTGTAGCTACGAATTTCCTGTCGTCGTGTTTAATTTTGTTTTGTTTTTTGCTTTAGGAAATCGTGGTTCTTCAGATTGGGGCCTTTTGTTTGTCTTTCTATTTGGAGATTCTTATTTTGTTCCTACCATAATTAACATGGTTTCTTTCATTACAATTCAGGTGTCAAACTTAGTGATGCTTCAAAGAAATTGGGGAAAAAGTTTGCTACTGGAGCCTCTGTTGTTAAGGTATGATGGATATTATATTGTTTTGTCTGTATGCGATGAAAAGAAATTTCCTCAACCAATCTTCACTGGAATTTTCTCCGCCATCCTATATATTGCAGCATTAATACATTTGATAAGAAATTTTCAGTTTCTGGTCACTTAAGATGGCAGGAAAATGGACATAATAAATTATCCATGGTCTTTATCATACTAGCTGAGAATTGGAAAGTGCCTGAAGTTATTAGTTATTAAACTCTTCCTTTTTGTTTGAAATGCGGGTGGTGTTGGACAAATGGGATAAAATAAATGGTTGTTGCCCTGTGTTTTACTCTGTTGGTTGGCAAGAAGCATGTTCAGCTGATTCAATTTATTCTTTTACTTTCTATGACAAAGCAATCCTTTGCAGTCCTTTGTTATCAAGGTGTTTTTTTTTTTTTTTTTAATTACATATGTGTGAGAGACTTTTTAAATTAGACGCACTACGCGCTTCTTACGGATTTTATAATGTCAGATTCTCATTCGTTTGTTGTTTTAAATTTGGGTTTTCATTTGGTTGAGCATCCTTCTCTCCAAAAGGTAACATTGTTTCTAATGCCTAATCAAATTTTGATTTCTTAGGTCATTACAATTTATGTAGTTTTGTAAAGAGAAATTGTTTACAAGCGCAAACAACTGCCAGATTTTATTTTGAAGTCTGAATATGCCAATAGAACCACATAATTATGGGAGTGAACCAGTGTGAAAGACGTTAAGGTTGCTCTCATTGATAGCAATTGGGACATTGGTCAGAACCCCTTTCTTCCCATTTTTGTTTATGCTAATTTGAATCGGTTATGTGTGTGTGTATATATTTTTTTGAATCCTTATCAAAGTCGGTTTCTTTAATGAAATGCAGAGGCTGCTCAGAAGGAATTGAGGAGGAGAGAGAAGGTTTTGGCGTCGAAAAAGTCATCTCGGATGGCTGCTGAGGGCTTGCTGGCTCTGACTCAGAATTAGAACAGGGCTGCTATTATTGAACTTAACTGTGATACTGACTTTGTTGCTCGAAATGATATCTTTTCAATACTTGGTAAGTGTGACTGATATGATTCCTCCATATTTTTTTAGTTCTATTTGATTGGTTGTTATTATAAGTATATGGTTGCGTACTTAATGTCAGTTGTCCTTTTTTCCCTTATTTCTTTCTTCCTCTGCTTCGCTTCTTCTTCCCCCTTTTGGTTCCCCCTCTCTTGCTTTATTTCTTCTGATATTTTCTCTCTCTCTCTCTCTCTCTTGCTCTCTTCAAAATCCCACAACAGTCTTTAGAGTTGGAGGCTTTTGCTATGTTGGGGTTTTTTCCAATAACTCAAGGGGCCGAAAGGTATTCCCTTTTCATATTCTTCTCTCCTAATTTTATTAGGGTTAATTTCAATTTTCTTATCCTATTTGCAGTGGTGCTTTTTAGGGCTTAACTATTTGACAATTTATGTAATTTATTTTTTGCTTTCCAGGTACAACCATATCTCTCTCTCTCTCTCTCTCTCTCTCTCTCTCTCTCTCTCTAAAATCTCTGTTGGGTTTCTACTATTATGTCAATTTGTATAATTTATTTTTTGATGTGAGATTTGGTGCATTTGATTTGCGTTATGGTTTGAGATGTTATTTGGAAGATTTCATTTTGAGATGTCAATTTCCTCAACCAATCTTCACTGGAATTTTCTCCGTTATCCTATATATTGCAGCATTAACACATTTGATAAGAAATTTCAGTTTCTGGTCACTTAAGATGGCAGGAAAATGAACACAATAAATTATCCATGGTCCTTATCATGCTAGCTGACAATTAGAAAGTGCCTCAAGTTATTAGTTATTAAACTCTTCCATTTTGTTTGAAATGCGGGTTGGTGTTGGACAAATGGGATAAAAGAAATGGTTGTTGCCCTGTGTTTTACTTTGTTGGTTGGCAAGAAGCATGTTCAGCTGATTCAATTTATTCTTTTACTTTCTATGACAAAGCAATCCTTTGCAATCCTTTGGTATCAAGGTTTTTTTTTTTTTTTGAACCAGCATTCGTGGTATTTTATTGATTCACTATCCGATTAATAAAACTCATATTTTAAGTTTATGGATTTTTGGCGTTTGATTTTGGTTTTTGATGTTTTCTCAGTCGTACAGTCACTGCCAGAATTACTAGGTTTTCAATTTTATTAGAATTGATTTTTAAGTCGTTGGGTCTGTATCCTTTTTGGTCAGTTTTGTTTTAATCTCATAATCTTTGTTTCTTTCATCGCTAAATTTTGAACTTAAAACATGCAGACTCTAAGGGACACCATCCATCAAGAGTATCATGATGTTGTCGAGAGGCGAGTTTTTACAGGTTTGAACCCTTCACTTGCCACTCATCAGTGGTTGCTATTTCTGGAGCTTCTACTTGAATTTCCATGATCTGATTTTATAGTTTATTTCTCTTGCATTTTGTGAATGTCAGTGACGGGAGCAAGAGCTGATGAAGAGGTAAAACTTATTGCACTGTTGAAATTACGGTATATCTATACCGCTGTGAAAGCTCATTTTCTATTTGTTTAACATTGTACAGACAATTGAAAGATTAATCGAGACAGAAGGCAGTGAACAAAATTTTCCAGAAGGCAATCCAAGAACAAGGGGGAGGCCAGGTTTGTCAAATTTCCTTTTTTATTCTCTGCCCCCAAATAAGCACTTTTTACTATTGAAATTGTGCTTTCTCTCACAAACTTGACACATTTTTTGACATCTTGAATAATTAATTTTAAGCTCCTAACTCTTCTAACTTGGGTTGGTGAAACACTTAATTTTCTGATTAAGATTGATCATTTCCAAAATTGTGTATCAAATTGTAGATAATGAACACTCTGGCCGAAATTCAAGAGCGACATGATGCTATTAGAGATCTTGAGAGGAAGCTTCTCGATTTACAACAGGTATCTTCTTAGTTTGTTCAATGATGTGTACTCTCTGATGGAAATGAAGTTGCTATATAATACAGATGTCTAGCATAGGCCTTACTTTTTAGATTTCACTTTACAATTTGGTATTTGCCGTATTGAATATAATAACATTTTAGATTACATTGATTTGTATTATTTTAAAGTATATATAAAGATTAGTTCATAGGTGTATGCACTTAATATTGGATATATGATATATTTCAGGTTTAGTTTGATTCCAACTCCTTTTTTTAGTTTATTTGAATAAAAATTGGTAAGTTCGAGTCCAATTTGATTATTTCTTGCTTTTTTGCTTAATTTCTGCTTTTTTTTTCCTGCTTTTCTGCTGTTTTTCTGCAGGTTATTTGCTGCCTATCTGCTCTCCCCCTTTCCTGCTGCCATCCATTGCCTTAAACAAAACAAAAACCCATTTGCCAAAGCCACCAAAGCCACAATAAAAGACAAGTAGAATTTTATATTCTCTACCCACTTTTATTGATGATTGCTGTTGGCTTCCTTATTTTAGAAAGGAAAAGTCCCGCTCTCCTTGGACAATACCATCTTTCTCAAAACATGGATCCGGAAAGACATCTGATAGAATTTATTTTGAGTCTAAATTATTAAATTAGGAGAGCTAAGAAGATATTTTGTGCTAATTGCTATTTGATAACTCTGGTTTTCTCTTTTGGCGACCACCTTGCTCTCCATTTCTCTTTTTCCTCCTGCTTTGCTGCTTTTTCAGTGTTACAACCTCTCTGCAAAAAAACACTGTATGTGTTTTGCATGTTTTTTTTCATGCTTCTATTCTTTGTTGTTGTGGTGGTGACTATGAGAATGGAATTCTCAGTTATCTATTCCTCTACGATACATGATGCATCTGATTTTTGTTCATTGATAGATGATGCCACATGCTTGAGATTTTTATGCCATCACTCTATTGGTTCTTTTGTGATTGTTATTGTTTGTTTTAAAATGTGTATGATGTGTGTCATGCACATATTACAGCTCATGCACAGATTACAGCATAGATCCATGATTTACATTCAACATAATCCTCACATCAAACTTAGTTAAGTTCAATGTTGTTTTTTGAAACTTAGTATGCTGTTACCAATAACGTTAAGTTTAAATCATTTTATCATAACATTATATATTTAAATTTAACTAATAATGTTAAGTAATAAAATGACGTAACAAAACAATATTCATTGACCCACGCCAAAAACAAGAATCTTCATTAACGTTATTAATAAACCAATAACATTAGTAGAATAAAAATTAACGTTAAGATTATTAAAATCATTGTACAAAACATACTAAGTATAACGTTACGATCATTTTACTGATCATATATCCTTAACGTTATTAGTAATAATTTTATTTAATGTTATTAGACACTCCTTAATTAGGTTTATATTGAAATTCGGACCGTTACAAAGCATACTAAGTATAACGTTAAGGTTATTAGAATAAGTTATGATCATTTTACAAATTAACTAAATATAACGTTATCGTATACGTTAAGATTCTTTGATGTCAAGCATCATTTCGATCTACAATGTTGTAATTTGATGTTAACATTGTTAATGTGGTTTTAAATTGAGCACATGCCATAATTGTTTTTTTATCAGAGAAGGAATCATTGAGGTCACTTTAGAAATGGATGGGTGTCTGGTTATTAATCTTTGTCATTTGAGTGGTGTAGCTTTCTTCACTAATGAATGTAACCATTTAAGACTTGGAATGTCTTTGGGGGGTAAGAAATAACATTGCTAATTTCGGATTTATGGGTTTGAATTTTTGTCGAGTATGTGATTCTTGCAAAAGAGTTGTAAATATCGTTCTAAATATGTGTAAGTAGAGTTGTAAAACAGAGAGAGGAAATTAACTTTAAACAGATAAAGGAAGCAAAATTAGAGCAAAAACTTCCAGTCTTTATAAATGTGAGGTTTTTCAGTAAGTGTGTTTTGTAAAAAGGTTTAATCTTTCTTAGAAATATAGCTTTCTCAGTTATGCAATGCTTTGAATGAAAACAAAAAAAAACCATTGTTTTGTGTATCTGTTTAACATTTGTGTTGCAAAGATTTGATTCAAATTGGTGAATTTGGGTAAGAAACTAAGAAACCATAACATTTCTTTCGGTTTTAAGAGCTGAAATGGACATGCATGTGTTTCTCTTTGTGAGGTATAAGAGATTGAGGAATTTTGAGACTGGTGGCTAGCTAAGGAGATAGAGAAGGAATAATTTTTTTGTTTTGGGATCTAGAGTTTACTGCCAAGTTGATTTCTCTTGATTTTTTGTTGTTTTAATATCTTTTGTTCATGTATCTGAATGCATTTTTTTTTATTTCTGCCTATTTATCTAAACCCCTATTCAATTTGTTGGAATTCATCAGAGAGTATTGGGTCTAATCATTTCCTTTTAATTTTTCAGGTTGTTTTTTTATTTCTATAGGGGAGTTGCAGGTGTCCATGTCAGATTCATAAGGAAAAAGAACCATTTTTGTGGATATATTTAAACATGTAAGAAATTGTTCTCTACTAGCATATTAGGAAAAATTAGAATGTTTCCAGTAAATTTGTTCTCTTTTGGTTAAATAGTTTAGGCAATATGGACAGATTACTTCAAAATTCAAATTGAATGATGGTTTATTGGTGTGAATTATGTTACATGTTTAGTTTCTTTTAGTTTTACTATTCGGATAGATATGTATGTATTAATATTCAATTTATCCCCATTCTCTTATGGTGTTTACTAAACTGTTGTGCACCATTGCTGCACAACCTCTGATGGTTCCATTGTTGGGCAAAAATTTGAGATTAAATTTAATTACAACATAAAAAACTAGATCGCTACACAGACTGATGTTGTTTGCATATTTAGTTGTTTTGTAACTTAGTTGATTTGGGTTTGTACAGTTTTTTTCCGTCTTGGAGCCACTGGCTTGCAGGTTTTCGAGTGTTAAATTGTTTACTCCTTGCTATAATATATTCTACAATAACATGTTAACATTTGTTTTAGACAACATGATCTGACCGCATTTCCAAAGCAAATTAAAAAAGTAATGATCAACTGACATGTTAATAAAATTATAAATTTAAAGAACATAAATTAACCACCACTGCCTGCTTAGTTTAACACAGATTTCCTCCACTTGATTACTAAGAAAATGTTCAAAAACAAAACAACTTAATTTTAGTGCTATTGTCGTGATGAATGCTATTTTGACTAGCTTATTAAGTTTTGGATAACTTATGAATTTAAAGGTCTTCAGTTTTAATATTTAAACAGCAATGTGTGTTTATTTTTCAGTGCAGTGGTTAAAGAAGAGTACAAGAAAAGTTCTGTTTATTTCTTCAGAAAAGATTAAGAAAGGTGAGTTGGACATAGAAGATGGAATTTCAACTTTGAGTTTTAACTCTTTACTGTTTATTTTTTTATTCAGTCTTTGGCAAGCCATCATACATAATAACATAACTTGGCATTTACCAAACAATTAAACATGTAACATAACTTAACATTTACATTTTTCATTTACAGTTGGTAGCCACGAATCAACTCACTATCAACTTTATATCAACAATGGAGTGTGCCTTAAAAGTGTAAGTCATGTTTTTTTATTCTATTTTATAAAATGAATGAAGTTCTGAAGTTTTTGTCTTATGAAACTTAGGTAATATATATCATTTCATAAACATAATACATGCAAAGACAAAAAATTGTAAGCTGTATTGATGAAACATTTTTTATGTAAAATTTTTCGAACATTTTAGGTTTAAGAAATATTGATGCCTAAAAATCCTGTCATCAGTTTTTTCCATCAAAAAATTTCAATCGGTTCAGTTCTTTTCAAATATGTATAATTTCTTTGTGCAACGTCTCTTTTAGTTTCTTGGTCAAGCATTTTAAATCATTACCAACTATTTAGTAAAAGTAGTTTTATAGAAAATGCTTGAGCTTCTTGGAATATCTTTTGTTTGCAAACGTTTTCCAACTTATTTGTTACCAATATTGTTCCTATTTTCGAAAACCTTTTATCAAGTCTGCTTGAATCAGGACTTATCGAATCAAGGCAGCTACAAGGAAATTTGAACTTTGGCATGTACAGATACGATTTTGCAACAAAGCTAGGTACCTTCTAGACTTATTGGATGTGGAGATTTGTATGATCGAATTTGTGATTAATATACTTGGATTTTATTAAATTTTTCATGATTTTATAGAGTTTTTCATTTAAATTTGTGGGTTTTTGTTTAAATTGTGGGTTTTGGAGATTGAATATGTAAAGGCTGCTTGAGAAACTAACAGTATACAAAATTTCAATGACTCTGTTTGTTCAATTGACTGCAACTCATGCCACAGTTTGCTTCACAAACCTCTACGGTTAGCTTCCATACAGTATGTTACAAGTTTGAGGATATCTGTACATCTTAATTTCTGCTCTCTGGTTGCTTCAAGTTTGTAATTTTACGTGCTACACTGCCACTTGATTTGATTATAAAAATGTAAAACAAAATCCGTCAATGAGTCGATTTTTGATGTTTTTCCAGTGTAGGGCATATGTTGCACAAGCATGTAAATGGTAGCAATTATTTGGTTTTGGACAGTAAGCTTTGAGTTTTACAAGAAAAATCAAGAAAATGTGTCGCTCATCTATCCCTCTGTTCATTCAGGATTATATTTAATTTATTCAGGTTAAATGTGTCTTATTCATGCAGTTAAGGCTGGTGCATTTAAGGTCCCGCAGCAAAGTGCGGGCATATTTTCTAGTCTATATACTAAAACTGGGTTCGGCTGGCACTGTTTTTCACTGTTTGTGAACAGTGAAATGGCGGAAATGCCCTTTGTTTCTTCTAATCCCACGTTTTGTTGTTTGCTTGGTACAGAAAAATTTCGATTTTACCCTTTTTTGCCACGGGTCGATCATCGTTGAAGGCTCCACTCAGACTTTCTTCTCGACTTTTCCTTCCGTTTCCATTTCTCTCTATGCGGTCTTCTCTTTTCTCCTCTCCTCATCTCTCTATTCCGTTTACCTTTTTACTGCCATCAACCCTCCCTTCCTTTTTCTCTCACTACAGCCACCGCAAAACCCCTCAAGCCCTCATACCCTCAAACCAACAAATTTAATTCCACAATCTCTCACACTTAATCTAAACCCTCGAACCAAAAACTCGATTTCAAGTATCAAGCAGCCAGGTTTTTGGGTGTTGGAATTTCGGCGAACTGTTTCTTGCCATTATTACCAATCTTCATGGCTTTGTCTCTCAGGTTCGATGCTCAAATTTAAGGTATGAGAATCTGAGTCTGAGGTTTCAAAATCAGGGAGGGTTTTGTTTAATTTCAATATCAGTGAGGCTTTTTTTAACAAGGGCTTCAATTCAATTAGGGTTTCGGTTAATTTCAATTTCATTTTCTGATATGAGTTTTAATTTTGCATTTAATCTAATTATTTTTATTATAATTCAAAAAAATTGTGTAAAGTAGGTTTTTTGTTGGAGAAGTGGTGGACCTTTTAATTGTGCCTGTTGTGTTAGTGGTCGTTGCTGGACCGGCAAGAAAAAGTCTACTGTGCATAACACCATGCCTGCATTTTTGCAGCAAAGACCAAATCAAGTAGAACTATTTGGGTATTTATCCTAAACCTAATTATTCTAATTTAAATGGAGTCTACTCTAACAGATACGAATTTGTATTATGTTATCAAATTTTATTTTTCTAATTTTTGATTTTGGGGTTTTGCAGGAAGTGCTAAAATACTGATTTTGTGGAATTTTTGTTCTTTGCAAGGTTTTTCTGGCTGATATAATACTTTTGCCATCACTCTCCAGGTATGATTATGTTTATGTTTTTTTCTATTTCCAAATTATGTATTCTGAATATTTAAGGTAGGTATTTAAACTTAAATTGGTATTACTTGAACTGGAAGAAGGTTTTCTTAAACGAAAAACAATCTGACATGAAGCTTGATGATCTAATTGCGCATTGAGTTTTTTGGGTAAGGGATTTCGGGTTTTTCACCAAGTCTCTCTCTTATTTTTAGTTTTTGAGTTGCATGTAATACTTTATGGTTAATGAATATTGGTGTGTGTGTGTGTGTGTGTATGTATGTATGTATAAAACTTAGAACCTATCAGACTGTTCCTATTGCTTTCCCCTGCCTCTCTTCTCTAAAGAAGAAAAGTGTGTTAAACTAAAAGCTAAGCATTTCAATGCACTTGCTATACACATTAACCACAAAATTTATTTAAAAATCTTTATTATTGATTTTTGCATTATTTGTTGGGACATATCCATTCCCCTATGTGCTTATAATTTTTAATGCAAGGAAACAAGCAAATTGGGAATATTTTTGAGTTCCTTAAAAAAATTAAGATTATTGATTTATTTCCCTTATTTTAATGTTAATGCAACTACATAAAATCTACTTAACTAATGGAAAGGACCTAGCGTTTGGCTGTGGTAAAGTTTTGGTTGGTAAGTTCCTATTGTGACTCATGTGAATCTGTTGCAGAGTGGTTTTAGTGTGTGAATTTCATCTTTCAAGCATTATCTAAATTGCTTGAGTGCTTGAGTGCTTGAATGTTTGAATTTGATCTTTCAAATTGTATCTGCATTGTGGTCCATTAGGGTAATTTTTATTCTAAGGTAATGGATGACTTTGGTTAATAATGCATATCAAGACCTTTGAATCTATTGATTCAGATGTTTGAACACAGTTGAAGCTCACTATGTTGTTTTTGCAGTTTGATTAGCAATTGTTAATTAGAGTTGCCTAATTTTTTTTACTAAGAGTTTAGGGCCAATTAACAAAAGTATTGAGTGATATGTAAGAGTCTAGAAGCAAACCTTTTGGAGAAGTTGAAGTCATTTAGAGTAAACTAATAAAATTTGACTATCCTGGCCAACATTTTTTTTTTTTTTTACTATTGACAACTTCGCAACCATATTTACTGATTGCAAGAATTGGTTGCATTTGAAACCCGCAGCATCGCGCGGGCAATTTTTGCTAGTAATATCTATAACAATGTGATTTGGACAAACATAAAAGATCACATATCTACCCTATAATGGAGCAATGGTGTGATAGAACGAGATGATATATATGAATTCTACTCTTCACTTTATGGTCATGGATTAATTGTTTAATTTTCACATTATTATTTGATTCTTTGTTGTATTTCTTACTTTATTCTTTACTAACTTCTTCGAACGCGCTTTTGCACATGCAAGAGCCTTTATTTACATATTTTACACACAACTTAAATATGTTTTATATGCAATGTTGTGTTCTATTTTCATTTTTATGACACAACATGATAAAGAAAATAATTAACACGATACATATTAAGGGGCACGGAGCGACCGTGAATTTAAAAAAATCTCTCACATGCACGTGAGCACATGCGGAGATGCTAGTTGAAGAATATTTCTTTGGAATTTGTAATATATAAATGGTGAAACTTTCAAAATACTATAAATTGCCTCTTAAGAATTTCAAAATCACGATTGAATTAAAAGGAGTTAAAGTAATTCAACACATTTTTTAGTACAAAAATATATTTTACACTAAGTGGAGAAGAAGTTCGGTTAAGCCACACATTTGACAACCTAATTTGGTATCGAATTCACCATCCACAAGATTCGAACCTCAAACCTTTTACTTACAAGTGAAGAGGAATACCGCAAGTTCGCAACACATTTTAACTTTAAATAAATTTTAATTTTAAAACTTTCGAATAAATAAACAAAAAATGGGTTAGTGGGTGGTTTATCTTTCAATTTATTTTCGAATAATGTTTTCTTTAAAAAACATATAAATAGAAAACTTAAATTTCCTAATTACTATTTTTTGTAAAAAAAATCATTAAAGAAGGGAGTGATTTGAATCCCGAGCATTTTTCAAGGAGAAATTAAAATCTCAGACATTTTTTTCAATAATTTTAAGATTAAGTATTAATTTCTTTTTAAGATTTGATTAAGAGGGTTTGACCAATTGTTACATCAATATTTTTTTATTTTTAAATTACATGTCATTAGTTTAAAAATATTTGCACCTTGCAACTAATTGCGTACAATTTAGGAAGGTTAATTTCCCCAATCCCTTGAATTCCTAGACTTTTAATGACCTTTTCTTATAAAATCAAACGACCATACATTCACGTACATATACTATGCTTATGTACCTGACAACTAAATTTTAAACATTCTAATTAATTTATTTAAATAAACAGTAAAAATATGAAACCACCATAAGAGATGAATAATAAATGCATTAATAATAGGAAGAAAAAGGGAATACCGAAGAAATAATGTGAAGTTGACAAAAAGAAACGTGTAGAAATAATAAACTTCAAATAAAATAAAATTCTATCACAAAATTGTAGGAAAAAAGTTTAATCAAAATTTTAAAAGGAAGAGATGTTTAGTTTATGACATTTCGAAATAGGGTGTTTATATCAAAATGACCCTAGAAACATTTGGAGCATCCATATACCGAGGTGGGAAATATCGTATTATACAGGTCGACCCAACCAATCAAAATTTGAACATCAATTTGTTTTGTATGAATTATATGGTAGAATTAGCATGGCTTTGATTTAATTTTTTTATAGTCATTCAATTTATCTTCATTGCATAAGTACTACACCTAAGTGTTCATGATTTCCAACATTGTGAGGATGATAAAAAAATTGTGATCCTAATCTGAATTCACACTTATACCTATAATTTATTATGAATACAAAATTAGCTAGAGTTGGGTGATATATTGAAACATTAGGATTCGAGTAATGTGAAACAGTAAAATTCTACTATAATGGGTTTGATGAGATATCGGAGAAAGTTAAATTAGTAAAAATTTGAAAAAAAGAAAATTGGAAATCTCGAGTGTTGGAATCAAATTTGCGCATCGCCGCAGATGGTGGAGGCACAAACTCGAGCAACCTGTAAAACAGAGAACAACGGTAAGCAAGCATAAAACAGGGGCTGTATCGGCCAAAGACTCTCTGGCAGTCAAGTTAGTAAGCAGTTTTTAGACTCGAGTAGTGGACAAGAGAATTAAATTACGGAGATTGCCTTATCAGAGACGAACCTTGGATGAGTGTATTTACATCGTCGGGAGAGAGACTATTTTAGAATAAAAAAATTCCTCTCCGCACGAGATTGCGTTACCAGAGACAAACCCTAGATGAGTGTATTTACACCATTGAGAGAGAGACTTTTTTAGAATAAAAAAAATCTCTCGCACGTATGTGAGTGCATGCAAAGAGGCTAGTAGCACTTTAATGTGTGCTTAGGGATGGCGTGGTGGACAATGGTGATTGGCCTGTGAGGTGGGGTAGATCTTGACCGTTGATTTAAGGGTTAAGTACCAGTTTGGCACAGCTGAAATTATAAAAAAAAAAACAACTATGAAAAAAAAGTTAAGGTGTAAAATGTGTTTGGTAAATGTAAAAACAAGTGCTTCTTTTCAAAGTTCCAGCCAAAATAAGTTGAAAAATGGAAACAACATTTTGCTGCTTCTCAAGACCAGCTTTTTTCAAAGTAGGCGGATGAATAGAAAAGTTTAATGAAACTTTCTTCAATCCAATTATACCCTCTTTCTCCACTTTTCTGCTGCAAAATCTCTCTTTATCCCCTCCCTCTTTCTTCTTTCCCTCTCTCTCACCTGTTCTTCTTCTCTCAGTCGTCAGGTAGTCAGGTGCTCTCTCTATTTCTTCTTGCAGATTCCCATGATAAAGTTTTATTCTTTATTTTTCAATATTTTCATTGAAATTAATTAACTTTACTCTTGTTGCTCGCTCTCGTTGGCTGATATATAATTTTGTGACGTCTACCTCTAGATAACCAGAACCTGAAACGCAAATCCAAAGCCATTCAGTTCCAATAATTCGCAATCTCACATAGTTTTCGGGTGAGTCTGTACTGCGCTGCATCCTTGTTCTTATTTTGCTTCTGTTTCTGTTTTTAAAATAATTATTAGTATGAATTTGTGAGCATATCTGGTGAGTTTCGATACACGAAACACAATTGGTGGTTGATGTGAGGACTTTCTTTTGTTAAATTCCAGCAGTGGCAGTGCCAATTGTTCGGGAAAAAAATCCTCTGAAGAAGGATCCTCGGACCTCAGCACAGCTCCCCAAAGGATTGGCACTTTGGATGTGTAGTAGGGCTCTTGCTTGTCGATGTGCTACAAGAAAAAGACAAAGTTAGTTCTAAAATGTGCCTTTGTGGAACCTTAGGTGTAGACCTTGAGGGTCGCAATCAAAACTAACTAAGTGCTAGGCGTGCCACTACTATTTTAGTATAACAGATGAAGAACAAGTGTGTTTTAAGTCGATTACTTGCACCCCAAGTGACTTCAAACTTCTTGTTATCAAAAGATTGTCGTGGATGAGTTAAATCCACATTAAGTTCTTTTTCTTGCCTTGTAAACAAGGACTTTTAGTTCATAGTCTTGTATGTTCGAATGAAGGGAGTCCAGATCCCCTTAAGTCACTTGTTTGGTTCCAGATTATATCTAATGAAAACATATTCATTTGAGCGAATCATATCCAGATGCAAATGGATTTCTTAAAATTAAAAAAAAACGGGTGGAAATAACTTGAATACATATTGGAGAATGCATTAAGCAATAAATCTACTAATTTAGAAAACAAACAAAGAGCTTCGGACAAGATTTCACCTTGTCTGGCAAGGTTGAACTTCTTGCAGTCACTTTTTTTTTAGTTTACAAGAGTTGTATGCTTAAAAAGG